GTATGGTTCCCCCGTGTCTAGAAATTTCAATCGGTGTAAAGGATTTCAGATACAGTACTAGGGACCACTAAGGCCTATATCAAAGCCTACAAAAAGAAGGATGCCATGGGACCTTTAAGGTTTACACTATATGGTTTATAAATGGAAGTGTTCTTAAAATATGCACAAATAGATGATTCAATGTATGAGGTTTTAGTATTCTTAGAGTATGTTTAGTTTCTGATTTATCTTTGCCACTGCAGTTCCATAGATGGCTATGGTATACACACACACACACACACACACACACACACACACACACACACACACACACACACACACACACACACACACACACACACACACACACACACACACGTCAGAAGTAGTATGTATATATATATATATTCTGACAGATATATATTGCCATCTAGTGGCTGACATTGGCCTATTTTTTTTTATTCTGTAAAGTGACGTTTTTTTATTCTTCTTACCAGTACTTCCTCTTGCCAACAAAGGGGGGCAATAAAACACTGTAAAAAATCACATGTACAATTTTTTTTTTACTGACTACACCCCAAAGAAATTGTTAGGATAGATTCTTGAAACTATTCAAATTGTTTCAATTCAATTTCATTGTAAAGAATTATGTTTATTTTTAAAGAAACTATGCTGCTCTGGCTACAAAAAAAAAAAAAAAAAAAAAAAAAAAAAAAAAATAGCACTAGGCTATCTATTTTTTTTAAAATAACCTTATTAGCAATAGCAATGTGCATTAAAATGAGGCACATTGATCTCCCAAACTGACCCGCTGAAAAGTGCCCAAAACCTTCATTAATTTATCATCAACATTAGGCTAGTAACTAGTATTTTTCTTTTTTTTCCTTTTGATGTTTAGATGATATTATTTGAATTATTTGCTTAGGTATTATGTGTGGTTATAAGAGCCTGATGTGTGTGTTTTTTTTTGTTTTTTTTTAAGATGTAAAAGTAGTATGTAAATCAGGATGTGGTTTAGAGGCCGCTGCAGACGGAGAACGAGTGCGGGAGAGTTGATTGTTAAGAAAAAAGCGCCTCGCACTCGTTCTCCATCTGCAGCGGCCTCTAAACCATGCTTTCCACTTATTGGTTATTGTTTTTATTTATGTGCTTTTTTTTATGTGTTGGTGATGGGTATTATTATCACAAAAGAAAATAAATAAATAAATGAAAAGAAAGTAGAGGAAGGAAAGGGGAACAATTACTTTGTCTTTACAATAAATGTTTATTTGTATAATGTATTAAACAATTTTAATGGAAATACTATAATCGATTATATTTTATAATATACTATAATAAAGCATATTTAAAACAAACAAACATTCAAAGCCATTTGAATTTTCATCAAAATACTCCTGAAATTAAACAAAAGCTTTGCTGGCTACAGATGCCCAGCTCAGCACTGTGAGGTAAAATCAAGCAACTCATATTTTTTCACAAGGAAAGATGAAGTGGTCTGAGGAGGGGGGGAAATAACTTGTAGCAGTTAGAAAAGGGGAAAAAATACTTAGTCTTAAAGGTGCTCTAAGCGATGTCGGGTGACATCACTTCTTGTTGACGTTAAAAGTATTGTCAAACAAAACGGAGGCTAGCTAGACCCTCCCTCCAGGGGCGCCGCCAGGAATTTTGGGCCCCATGACAAAAAAATCACATTGGGCCCCCTCTGCGTAGCTGTTGTCACCACATCTCTAGGACCTAACTATCCCATCAAAAGCTTTACATAACTCTAATCAAAGGCTTGCAACTGTCTTGTTTCTTGTAGTACAATACTAGTGCTAGCACTATTTACTGCTGGTGATTTGTAAATGCAAGTCTGCATACAGTATGCGCATACAGATGCAAGATTAAAAGCCACCATAAAAATGTCCTTAAGGCAATCCTTTACAGTCTCAATGTATTTTTATTGCAAAATTAATGACAGATAAAATATATATATATATATATATATATATATTAGTGCTGGGCAAGTTAACGCGTTATTATCGCGTTAACGCATTTAGTAATTAATGCCGACAATTTTTTTATCGCGCGTTAACGCAGTTTTTTTTATTATTATTATTTTGAAAGTCCGTTGCTCACTGGCTCTGAATACACATAGGCCTACCGTCAAACCATGATCACAGGAGGGGTGGGATGTTGGTCAGCCAGCAAATAACCCACCCAAACAAGCAGTGGAGAGGCTTTGGCAGGTTCTCTCAGGTGAACAGAAAGGGAGAAAGCGCTCCGCGAGTGAATGACAGGCGCTCTATGGATAGTAACCATGCAACGGCTTCTGTGCGCTACGCAGCTGTAGTCTTTTTAACTTAAATTAAAATTATACATAACTTTACCTGATAGGCCTGCGTTTAGTTTAGCGGGGATGCTCTGCCATGTGAATTCCCTCCTGTTGATGTCCTGATAACTATTTAGATTCTGGAAACTCACAAACAGCGAGCCAAGGATCAGTCTCTCTTCCAATGATTTGTGCTGCGCGTCGTGTACAAAAAGTTAGACAATTCAACTTCGGCAACGCGCGGGCGCGTGCGTGAGGCGAGCATGACCGCAACAGTTTCACAGGAACGCACCCGCTTGTCGCTGCACCAGTGCTCGACCACTTCACCTCACTCTAGGCTGATTTATACTTCTGCGTCGGACCTAAGCCGGAGCCTCTACGCTATAGACTACGCGTTGGTTTTCATTTATAAATCTGCGTCGTTGACGCGCAATTACACATGCAGAGGGAGAGTGTGAAACCCGGGGAGCGGTTCTAGCAATCACAGCGCTTGCGGTACGCGTAGAATTGACGTTACATTTTTGGAGAGATGCACGTCAGGGTACGCGCGCTACACAGCTACGGCGTGAGTTCGACGCAGAAGTATAAATTGGGCTTTACCTCTGTTTAATGTAATCTTACGTGGGAAACCATGGCATGCCATGACCAAACCTAAGCTGCTATCAGAGAAGTAACGTTGGTCGACTTATATCTGTAGTAGTGATCATGACCCTTTGACTACATAGACTGTTTCTGCTGCTCCCTGATACAAGATACCTGTTCAGAAAAAAAAAGAAAAGAAAACTGGACTCGTTTTAACAAGCTAGATAAAAGGTAATGCCCTGGCAGTGGCAAATAGCTTTGTTTAAATATTTGATTTGATTATGTTAATGTTTAAGTTGAGATTTACAAGAAATATTTTATTGATACTGTGTAAAGGGAATACTGCTGGTATAAAAGCACCTTATTTGTTTAAAGTTTTTGCAAACCACATGTTATTGCACTTTTGTAGCAGTACATTTAAATCAAAAGTGCGCAATACACTACTTTAGAATTCATTATTCAATATTGCGCGTAACAATGCGATTAATCGCGATTAATCGCAAGAAATCATGCGATTAATCGCGATTAAATTTTTTAATCGTTGCCCAGCACTAATATATATATATATATATATATACATTAACTTTTTAATCAAAATAAATTAACATCATCATCATCAAAATTCAGTCTAAATGAACGCATCAAACTGGATTATTTTAATACTGTCTGTAACTTACATGCAGGTTGAGGTAAGCTACTCATTGTTTCTAACTGCATCCAGTACAGACAGGAGGTTGTTTTTGTGTTGTTTTTTATTTATGTCTGTCATAATGGTCATTATGTGAGAAAATAATTTGTGTTTGATTTCTGTCATTAATAAATATTTCATTTTCTTTTTTGTTATGGTAAAAAGAGCAAGAGAGACAGAGAACCCCACAGACACTCCCTGGAATGATGCCAAGTCATTAACACAATGCTGCTCACCTTCTTCACCTGGACAGGGACAGGGAGGGTGCAGTTATGGGGAGACTGGGGTGCTACTGACTCATCTGTTGTTGAGTCTGCTAAAAGGGGCATGGACAATGATTTAATATGAATATCTTGCTAAACGTTTCCCTGCACTGATTAAATGTTGATGAAATAAATGTAGGCTAACAGTAGCCTGCAGCTAGCTAGCTTATTTCACTATGGACAACAGGTTAATACCACTCAAAGGCTACCCACCTTTCTTGGTGAAAAACTGGGTTACAGATTGACACCCTTTCTTTTGTCTTTCCTCTCTCTCTTTCCTTTTTTGAGAACCAGATTTTATTTTACAATGCAACGTTGTGGTCATTGTTTTTCTGGCGCATCGACGCGATCTGTCTGCAATTAAACACCGTCACTGATGAGTGCGCGCGCTTAGGCAGGACCAAACCATTTCATGCAGATACAGGGGGTGGTCGGTCAATATGGATGTTTACTTTTTGGTCAATGTTTATGGGGATATTGAACTTTTATTCCCAAAATAAGTAAAATCAAAGACATTATAATTAGAAATATACTCAATGTTGATGGTGTATATAGTGTATAATATATATATTTTTTATTATTAGTTTTTACCTATTTGTTGGGGCCCCTGTCAGTCAGGGGCCCTTGGAATTGTCCTAACTTTTCCCCCCTATACGGCGCCCCTGCCTCCCTCCTCCTCATCCGCGCACTAACCCCCCAAATCGTTCCTGTCGGTTATTGGCTGGAACAGTTTGTTATGTTTCGGGGTGCGGGTTGCTACAATTTGTTTTTGTTGCCTTTGTGGAGCCTGGGGAGTCTGCAGAGACCGCGTCTTTGTACAGTGTGTTCAGGGGACAGGCAGCTATAGCGGATAGTGAGGAGATGTTTGCTGTATGTGACAAAAAATGTTTTGGCCTAAAAAAATGTGTGACGTCGCTTAGAGCACCTTTAAGGAAAATCATTCCAGCACAAGAGACCCATTGGAGTTCAACTCAAGCCACAGCCCCAACAGTGGCAGCAGTAGTTTAATTTTTAATAAAGGGTGATGAATATTTACCAGGTAGCCATGGGAATGACCATGACCTAAGATCAACTGTCTGTCTCTGTGCCTGCAGATCCTCATTGTTATCCAAATATTTGTCATTTGTTTCAGTCCAAATCATTTACATAAATATAAAGGGAAATAAATATCACTTACCCAAAGTCTGTCCAGCAAGCACCCTGGTGTTCTCACCAACCACAGCTGAGCGAGCGTTCCTCTCGCAGGCATACTGGACGAAAGCAAACCCCTTGTGCAGAGAGCAGCCGGTGATCTTACCATACTTGGCAAAAATTAGCTCAATGTCAGTTTTCTTGACCACAGCAGTGTTGAGGTTACCAATGAACACTCTGGAATTCAGAGAGCGAGGATCTGTCTTGTTTGTTATATTGCTGGTTTGAGTTTTCCCAGTCATCCTTCTCAGGATGTCCTGAAACACATATAAACAAATATTAAAGTGCCCCATTATGCTTTTTCAGATATAACCTTTCATTTAGTGTGTAATATAGCTGTTTGTGAATAAGAGGTCTGCAAAGTTTCATAGATCAAAGTGCACAATAAAGGGAGGTTTTTGTCTCCCAAAAGAAAGAACAGTTAGTAATTCTAGTCAGTAGGCCTAATGAGGCACTTGGCATGCACTTTAAAAGGATGAGTGAGGTTTAGAGAACTGCATCCTTGATCAAACCGTTTCAGACACTGAGACCAGAGGTGATCCTGCAAGAAAACTTAAGTGTTTTTAAATGAGTGTATGGATAGTCTAGACAAGAGACCACCAGGGCGGAGCAGGCAGAGCTGGAGACCCCCAGGAGCCAGCCAGGACAATAGTGAAACACAGCAGAACTGATGGAGGGAGGAGCCAGGGTGGAGTCATGAGCCCGACCAACAGAGGCAACTCCTAGAGAGGTAAAGACCCAGGCGGAGTCCGATGGAGAGAACAGGCAACATCGAAGGATCAGAAGGCCAGAGCCGCAGTGACGAGTGGCTGAAGTGGAGCCAGGATGCCGGAAGACTGGGAACTGGGAACACTTCCCTTAAATCCTGATGTACTCGTTTCATCATAAGAAGAATGGCATCTACGCTAATTTTAGTGTGTTTGTTTATCCCGAGTTTTTCCCGCAGCCTGCCGGATCCAGACCGTTTCCAGATCTGACGACACCTGGACCCGATGACAACGCAGTGATGAAGTGCCAACTAGCCTCTCCCTATGGAGGATCTCCCTATCCCAAAATTTATAAGACAAGTAGTTTGTTTAGGCATGGTTTGTAGGGAATTACAAAACTGCGCACATATATTCAAACGCACATAACTATAGAATCAATTCTTAATGCGCATGTGAACGCCATCAGCGTTTATCACAGGTTCGCGTTTAAAGTCTGTTTAGAGAGAAAGGTGTCATCTTAGCGTAATTTAATAACAAATGATCATTTCAACGGAAGTGAATCAATCAAAACTAACTTTAGCTGGAAAATAACATTATTCAAGAACCGCAATAAAACCGAACCAATCTCTGTTACCTTAAATTATATTAAGTTTATCTCTGTAAACCTGCTTTGAGACAATCTACATTGTTAAAAGCGCTATATAAATGAGGATGACTTGACTTGAGTTGACTGAGGCATAGCCGGTGGGAGTGGACTGAGGCAGAGCCAAAGAGGTGGAGAAACTAGGCACAGCCGAAGGCCCCAAAGTTCGAGTTGGAGGTAGAGCAACGACTGACCAAGGTGGAGCCGGAGGGACGAGTGAGCCCAGTGGAGCCGGAAGGACAATGGTTCTCGGTGGAGCTGAGGGAGGGTAGAGCCAAGGTGGGGCCGAATGGTCAACGGGCCGAGGTGGAGTAATGGGCTCGGAGGCCCGAGGCAGAGCCAGGGGATCTCCACAAAGGTGGAGCTAAAGACTGGTCTCGAAGACCGGGCTCGAAGCATAACAGCATTGTTAAGCAAAGTCAATGGAGGACGAGCCGAGGAGCTGAATGGGACCAGCAGAGCCAAAGCCGAAGAACTGGATAGCTTACTTGAAGGAGGAGGGAATGGGAGGCTGGGAGGGATCATCAGCGGCGACAAAGACTTAGAGTTGGTTGGAACCAGCGGCGATGAAGAAGACTTTGAGCCGGGCGGGACTGGCGGAGATAAAAGAGAAGATGAAGAAGATTTGGAGCTGGACGAGACCGGTAGAGATTAAAGAGAAGACGAAGAAGACTTGAGGCTGGGTGGAACCAGAAAAGGAGGAAAGGCCTCATACTCTAGCTCCACTAAAACTTCCACTGGCACAGATGTATAAATTGGCTTACACACCTGGTCAGAATGGACAGCAGGCTTGGTCTCCGGGACAGACTAGGCTGCAGGCTCTGGCACTGGTTCCATGTCGGGCATAAACTCTGGCTCTGGGGTGGGCTCAGGCTCCATATCCCCAGGGGCGGGGTTTCTGGATCTGCTGTGGTCATGAGCGACAATATCAATATGGGATAAAAACTCTCAAGAAACCGGAGAACGGCTTCTCTCCATGTTCCGTCTTTCATATCTGGTCCAGGGGGTTACAATAATTTGCTCCTTCCCAGTAGATGGATTTGAAAGTCTTGTCATCCAAAAACGAGCACTGGGCTAACTGGTATAAGTGGGCTGAATAATCCAATAGAGGTAGCCCCTCACGGGCGATAAACGCTGCTGTTAGATCCATAAATCCTTTCTGTGGTCAGGTGTTCTGCCACAGCTGGGCTGAGGATGAAGACAAGGCGAGGTGAAGCAGATCTAAAATGCAGAGTAGTCCTTATTAAACAAAACATTAGAGTATAATCCAACATAAGAGTAAACCAAAACAAGCGAGAAGGCAAAGTTACAGTGTGCTATTGGACAGGCAACACCAGTCCAGGAGTAACTGAAACTGATATGAACTAATGATACAATGAATTAACGAGGAACAGGTGTGCGAGTATGAATCTGTTACGATCCTCTGTGTCTGTTTTGTGTGGTTTTTTTTTTTTTATATGAGTGCTGGGATTGGTTGCCGACGGAGGAACCTGATGTGCAGCTTTAAAAGGGTGGCGCTAATCGAAGATGTCAAGCTCATTCTGGTGTTGGCCTTGTGGCGTGAAGAGCTCCGGATTCCTCCTCCCGTTGACAGATCAAAAAACCTTCTGTTGATCATGTTTGTTTGTTTGTGATGATTTAATTAGGTTTTTTCTTATGTTTTAGGAGTGTAGGGTGTTGTGCCATTTATTTTGACATTGTTTGAGATTTGTTTATTTATAGGGAGTTAGGGAAGTTTCTTTGTAATTTTGTTTATTCCCTGATTAGGTAATTTATACATGTTTTATTTATAAGTCTATTTTGTTTATTATTTTGGCCTTGGGGCACCCTGAAGCCATTGCTCCTTAATTTAATTACTTTTTCCACTTTAATAAATTATACTTTTTGTGGAACTTAGAATTGTGTCTTTGGTGATCTGTCGGCTGGGGCTGGTTTCCTTCATACCAACTAGTTCACGTCAAGCCTGTCTTTATTGCACGAGTCGTAACAAAATCAACGAAACAATGAGAAACAGAAAAAACAGAAAGGAAACACAGGAAATGACGATAACAAACTAAAAGTCCTTGAAAATGAAACCGAAACCCCAACAGATTTGCGACAATAACACTATATAAAATAACACTCATTTATATTTGAATTATAAAAGTAGACTGGCTGATTCAAAGTACATGTATCGGTGAAATAATGAGTTTTCAGTGGGGTTTAAACAGATACTGACTCATTCATTACCTGGCCATTTCCTATCTCCATGGCAACAGACATAAAAGTTTATGATCAAGAAAGAAAGTTATTTTCAGATACTGTATCTACTCAACTCCATCCATTCACACCCTCTTCCCGAAACCTTACCACACACAAGCACTAATACAGCCACATCAAACACCACACCAAACTCAAGCTGTCTAATTGCTTCATGTGCATTTTCAAATCTTCCTCACCATTGCTAATATTCTGTAGTTGCTATAAATGGACCAAGAATAAATTAGATCTTTTGCTGAGCTATTTATACATCTCTTGAGCCTGTGATCCTGTCAGATTTTTTAAACACTCTTTTCATGTACACAGAGACTATACATCTGGCTGGATGTGGCAGCACTAGGGTTGACACCAGAGAAGACACTATTCAGGATGAGCTGTGAGGATCACTACAGAGTGTGAATGCTGAGAAGTGTGAAGTTCACACACAAAAAAAGTTTCACATATAAGGCTTCTCCTGTCTTTTGCGGCAAATGATAACAAAGTGCTTCTTCAGGAATCCCAACAGCATTCCCTCACATGCATTAAATATAAATATAACCAATAGTGCAAAATCATTGAGTTGTCAAGGGTTCAGCTTGCGTTGCCAGAACCTTCAGACTGACGGCAGAAGGTCTGGACTCCATAGCAGCTTTCATTAGCCAAAGGGATGTCTGACCGACATGGAAAGCAACCAATCACAGTTAATTTGTTCAGCGTCATGTTTAGAGGCGTGAAAATGTAAAGTCAATGTCTTGCAACGGCTTGCGATTTATTAAAGAACGTTGTGATAGTTTATTGCAACAATGGTGCTGTGATCTTCAGATACTTCCAGAGTTTAGTTGATATGCTCTCATTGTCACAATTGTAAACACGATGGCTTTCTTCTTCCATGAGGGGGTTTGGCGTCATGACGGCTTTGTTTCCTGGCGGACCGTTAAAAAATGTGAGACACATGTTTTCCGGAAATCCTGGAGAATTCAACCAAAGATGACGAATTCGAAACTCCCAAAGTGTTTCCCATTTTTAATGCCATATGCATCAGACGTTCAGCCAACGGTCCGTAGGGAGTGACGTCTGAGGCTGAGACCAGGGTTCAGCTAACATATGAAATTAAAGACAAAACAACTGTGTTTTTCAACGCCCAAAACAACGCCCAGTTTTTCTCTCTTTAAATCTATGATGTCTAGTTTTTAAAAATCTGTTTAGATTTTAAAAGTCATGTAGTGTGTTCAATCCTTAATACCGACTACTTCTGACTACTAGCAAATCAAGTTCATGACTGTGGCATAAACTAAAGTCTAGATATTAAAAAAAATAACAAACTTCATTATTTTTGCCCCAACTTCAATCAAAATTCAAGTCTTTAAAAAAAAAAAATAGTAAGGAGAATAAATGTGGTCTTTAAATGTTAAAACAAATGTTTAAAGTATGATATAATTTTTTAGAAGGAATAGTACAACTTCAGATTCCTTTTCATATAATCTACCATTCACACACTAGAAACAAAAGAGCTGGAAATCAGCAGACCGACACAGAATCCATTTCATCTGTGAGACAGTGAGTCAACCCTCTGACTGATCCTCAGCAACACCAGCATCCTCCTCTCAATACACACCATCATTTCTACCGAATCACTGATGCATGAAAACCTTTTGCTTCCCTGTGTTAACAATAACCTCACCTCATTCTCTCAGGTTGACAGGCATGGCAGAGCTCTGGCATTGTGACTGGACATGACATTTATATTCCCATTCAAATCCCATTACTTCACCAGCTCCATGCACAGTTATTCTATTATCCCATTCAAACACTCTCGACTCCTCACACAGTAGTACTTCACACTTCTCCTATTTGTTGGTCAGTGCTAAAATTACATGACCAAAAAATCTAATAAAGAAGGCATCAAGTAATCTCTGTTCTCTATCAGCATTAGAAACATCTAACTAATGTATACACATTTTAATTGTTTAAATTTAGTGATGAATGTCACAGTCAACTCAATTTTCTTCAGAATTGAATCAATTTTATGAATCGAATGAATTTTATGCCGACGCAATCCTTAAGATTTAAATATCATTGGTTAAAATTTTCTACACTATAAATATGTTTATCACATAATAAGGCTTCTTATAACTGTCAGTTAAAAGCATTGTTTGTTTTTAATTTATAACCTCAGTTGTCAGTTGCATCGAAAATGACTTTTTATTCATGTTTCTGTAATATTGCAGTGTTCATCTTGTTGCTAGTTGATTGTTTTGTACACTGCAATGGACTACTTTTTTGATAGTGGTAAAATATATATAGGTAAAATCAAATCAAATCAAATCAATATGTCCACATATTTATTTATTTGGCGAGTATAGCCTTGTAATAAGTGGGATAATATTAGTGTAATTATCTCAAGCAGCTTCTGATTCTAAACTTGGTGTGTTTTATATCTCTTTATTGCTGTATAACCCTATATACAGTAGCTGTTGCTGATGGTGTGCTAGTCCAGATTACAGTTTCCGCATGAAAGCTCAGACACTTCACACAGAATTCATGAAAAAAACAATGTAAGAAAACATCACAACAGATCCTACCAATCCACTATACAGCACACTTCTCCAACACTGAGTATTCACATCTACATTTATGAGATATTGATGTTTATAATAATGTTTGATGTTTATAATGTTCTTATGCAAAAGCAATTTTTTGTTTGTTATTAAACCTATACCTCTGGCATTAAGGAGACTTATTCATTCCTTTCTCCCTCTGTTGGGTGATCCCAAATATAGAGAGTAAATTCAACCAGGCATGTGTAAGTGGGTCACTAGAGCAGTGACTAATTAGCTGGTATACACAATGAGCTGCAGCTGACAAGGCAGGTGCACTGCTTAGACAATACAAGGTCAATTCAAGGTGGAAAATACATTCACTTTTACATGAAAAGTAAGGATGACGCCAGGGTGCTAAAATAGATCCGAATCATCTCCCTGAAGTCATATTTGTGTCATCAGATTTTTAAAAATATTTATTTATTTTCACTTTAGTTTACTCAGTATTTTGAACAGGCCAGAAACTTCTACAAATTGACTACTGTATGAAAAGATTTATGGGACACAATCACTTTTAAATGGGTTATAGTCAGTTGTTACAATTACTGCAGTACTTTTGAATAAGTAGTTCTTTCAAATAAAAAGTCAATGAAATCTGAGGATGATGGCATATTCTGCATACAAGCAGACTCCATTTATCTCTTCATTGTCTATCAACAATGAACTTCTAAACAAACCGGAGGAATTGAATCAAAATTATGCATTGTGAAAGACAGAAAACCAGACAGTAAAGTTGATTCGGTGTAAAGCCTGTTATTTCTGAAATAGCATGACAAAATGAAGTTGTTTATTCAATTGTCTTCCTCCCACTCCATTTTTATTCTCAATTAAACTAGAGAGAAAGAGTCTAGGTAGGTGTCTACAATATAAAACTTTGCTGGGAGAGACATGGGATACCTCAGATAGAGTTATTTTGATCTAGAAGCATATGACAATACTTTGTGACAATTTATCCTGCCATTAAAACTGCGGTGATATGTTACATAAATAAACATATAGCTACTTTTATCTTCATTATCTCATCTGTATTCATATGTGTATGCAGAATGTGGGGCTCTGAGGAAGACTCAGGAATTCTGTCCAGGTATCATATGCTTGAAACTCCCATCCCTCCTAGAATTCCCAATGAGAGATAAGCCTTTAGGGAAAGGATATTTCACGGCTGGCTTCCCCCACCTGTCCCTTGACTGACACAGCCTGAATAGTAAATAATTCTTTTTCAGAATAACATACTTCTTCAGCACTATCGTTCTCGACTCTAAAAGAACAATATTGATTAAAGAAAAGGGTTTTGCAGGAAGACTGTGAGTATCGTATCTGGTTGAGAGCTGGTTGACAAACCGGTAGACTTATCATGCTTTGGGCTCTGAGCTTGTACAAAACGAATGTAAGAAATATTGCAATTGGCTGGATAAAATGAAAGCCAACTTAGATTATGCTGATAACATAAAATATTCCTATTACAAAGTCATGAGGTAAAATATTTTTTCGCGTGTGTCAAACTTTATTGGAAGATTAGTCTTTTTAAGTCTTATTTTCAGCATCCCCTCATAGACAATTTCATATTATTTTGATAATATCAAGACCAGTCATAGCAAGCAATTTGCATGGATACAATGAAAAAACTGGTCCAACTGTGAAATGCACCACATTTACATAATGAAAGTGACAAAGGCAGCCATTATTATACATTTCAAATTCAAAAAGTTTTTCATCTCACAATAAATGTTCTTTAAATAAGTGTATTGGTTTCTGAGAACACATATGTTTTTAAAGAGAGAACACAGTTCGAATTTAAAAGGTTCTCATTTAGCATCAGACTGAAAACCCCTTTTTATTCCAGTTGGAACGTTTAATTAAAGTCTAGGCTATCAATAAAAATAAAACATGAAAGAGATAGATCTGCAAACTTCGGAACCAACTCAAGAGTCGTTAGGCTAATCATGTATGCATTGAAAACAATTTTTATATATAATCCAAGGCATTGCTTATCGAATAGCCTAAATAATTATTAGTTTGAAATTAACGCGACGTCAAATTTAATTGTAAGACATCGAACGGAATTAAAAAGCTAGCATCTCTTTTTAAAAACCTCAGGAAACAGTTTACACGAAAAAGCATTTCAACATTTGACCAACGATGAGCAGAATCGAGAAAGACAGCAGGTAAAACACAGGAGCTACTTACCAATCACAAAGTCCGAGCATCAGATGAGATGGAGAGCGAGTGCAGAGCATTACGCTTCTGATCGTTCAGATCGCAGCCTCACTGGATCATGTGACAGCTCTGCTCTCCGCTTCATCATCCACAAATCCACACTGCATCCATTCATCCACAGCTGGCTTACTGTCTGGAACCTGTTTCTTTAACTTCGGGATTTTTCCACCTTCTTTTTTATGTATGATGTAGCATATTCCCCCCCTTTATCAATCACAGCTCTGATTCAGTAAGAAATTACGTGTTGCAATAATTGACTTTTTCAAATGCCTTTTATGTATAGATTTTGTTTTATTGTTTTTGTTTTACTCTTGCACCAGACCCAGACTTTTAAGGTGCTGTAGCCTATGTAACTTTTTGACTCCTAAAGCACAAACATAGGCTAGCTAATATGTTTGCAGATATTTAGGAAAAATGCTAAGTTCACATAGGTCTAGTTTCTCCGAAAAACAATGCTACAGCCAGTTATTCTACTTTGAAATATGCGCTCCGTGTCGGAATGTTCGTTTTTGTATTGGTCTGTGTGATTCCGCCCAGTATTGGGGGCCAATTTACCCAGCCGCGGTGTCTGTATGGGCAGGTCAAATGGCCAAAATATTTATTCAAACATATAGACCTCTGCTCTGAATTAATAATAAATTATAAATGTGTTCAGCATTCTGCAACAAATATTTTTCAGATTTTCTAGACTAGCCTATTTTAAGTCGTAAAGCGAGCAGGATATATGAAAATGTAGCGCATGGATTCGTCATGTATTAATGATAGGCTACTAAGCGGGGCAGCCGGTCTCGGAGCCCTCCCCAGCTCTACAGCGCCCAACAAATTTTCAATGTAAATCTGTGGTGAAAAATGAAACTGCAGCACGCTATTGGGGCAGATTTCGGTCAGATTTCTGTCTGCCCTGCTTATTTTCACGAACAAGACGCTATCAGTCCACTTCAGCTATGAGTCTGCATCTGGTTAGTAACTAGTTGGCATGTTTGTTCCTCCTATGTGGAGTAGGGTATCAAATTAATGAAAGTATAAACCCTTTAGTTTAAACATGCTCATGTGAATATAGCTTTTAGGCTATAGGCTATATAGCGCGGGGCACAACGTAACGCTGGGCTAGTTGTAATACACTTAATACTTCCACACATGCCAGCATGACGAAACTTGGTGTATTTACTATAGTTGCCATTTCAACACTATATAGAGAAAAAATTGCGCCAAAATTCAGAAATCTTTGTAAGATATCACTGAACATTTATTTAACCATAGCAAAAGTGCATTTCTTACTTAAGTAAATTTTTCATCTCTATATTTTGTGTTTATTTAAAATTAGACAAATCTGATATTATTTTAATCTCCAATCTGTTGTTTAACAGTTCATATAGTTCTTTAATGCTTCGCTAACTAGCAGAAGACACTAGCAGGGTTTAAACCCCAGTTGTGCAGGTGGGGCAGGGCCGTCGCTAGTGGGGTGAAAGGTGGTGACAATTATAGGGGCCCCCGCTGCCCAGGGGGCCCCACAAAATCCAGCAGTTATATTTAGGCCCCTGTAGTATGAATAATTCTAATATTTATAGGCCTATTAGTTGTATGCCTGAGATTTAAATGAAAATCACAAAAACGTGCAATTTGGGTAAATATTTTTCCAAATATCTGCTTCTCTTACCTCCATAAAAATGGTTTAGTCCGACCTAAAGTATTAATTATTCAGTCAGAGTCAGTGACAAACATCAGATGGACCCAATAAAATTGTAAGTCCCGCCCCAGCTCGTGAACAGAACCAATCAGAGTTGAGGCGGCAGCCTGAAGTTAACGATGAACTTGGTGGAAGACCAGGAGACTAACTGACTGAAAAATGTCGGGGAAAAGAAAACAAATCAGGGTACCAGAAATGCCAGGAAAAGACGGAGAGGGAGGCAAGGAGAGTGGTTGTATCCCAGTCGATCAAGACGTTCTTAAAGACCGGTTATATATTGTTATTTCGCTGGGAATTAGAAAACTTCCGTCTACAGTCTGCCGTGTACAGTCATTTTTTATTATCGGCGCGCGCCGCAATCGACCGAATGATTACGTGGTCTAAATTCCTGTCTTTTTACAGTATTGTAACTAGAGTTTTAAAAAAAATTACACGAGTCACGACGCATTGCATTATGCATCTGACCTGCCGGCTGATGATATTTAAAACATCGAGAAAACATGAATACAACACACTGCACTTGGATGAATAAATGTATTCGCTTTATTTAATAATATTAGCAGTTCCATATTATCTTTATTAAAAAATAAGACAATGAATGCTTTTATTTTTTGAGTTAGACTGCATTCTTGTCAATTTTTTAAATGTTTACTTTTTGATTTATGAATTATAACAGACTGATGGGGAACATTTTTTTACTTTTTAAAAATTGGTTTTATTATTATTTAACAATTTCTTGCTTTTTTGTTAGTTTTTATTAGTTGTAATTTTTATATAAACATTTAACTTTTAAAATAAAGGTTTTACAACAACATCACCATCTTCTGTTATGTGGGCCTCCATGTTCATCTATTGTACAGTATATGATATTGGTGGAGGGTGGTGGGGGCCCACATCAATATTTTTTCAGGGGGCCCCGAATCCTCTAGCTACGGCCCTGAGGTGGGGCATGTTGTAACACTGCGTTACAATGTGTCCCTATTAGAAATATGCTATTATATTCTACACTTTTATGAATTCTATTGAGAAAACATGAGAAACATGTAAATAAAGACTGAGAGTCAATGTTCAGAAATTATGAATTATTATTTTGTTTTGAACTATGCTGTATAGCTGTGTTTTCCGGTGTGTTTGTTGTCAAACTCAAAAATTAGTTTATTTTTAATTATTAAAAAAATGCCATTATTTTATATGAAAAAGTTAATAATTGTATTTTATTAAGAAAATATTTTGGTTTGACTTGTATATTTTTTTATTAGATCAGATAGCATCTTAAGCTGTCATATGGTGATGTTACAATGTGCCCCTCACATTTTACAATGTATAGGCCTACCCACCTACACGCTGATTTCACGCTGCCGCCATTTTGAAATCGAAAGCGAGGCTCCGGTGGGCGATATTTTTTTTCACAGGATGGTAGGGGAAGACTCATGAATATTCATTAGGGAACTCATCCCTGATTGGTCTGATGACCTACCCCCTAACCCCGCCCCTAAACCTACCCGTCACTGGGGGTCTGATGACCTACCCCTAACCCCGCCCCTAAACCTACCAGTCACTGGGGTTAAGACCAATCAGGGATGAGTTCCCTAATGAATATTCATGAGTCTTCCCCTACCATCCTGTGAAAAAAAATATCGCCTCCGGTGGGAAGAACCCCGGAAGTACAGATAGACAACAATGCTTGGACTACCAACCTGAAGCTGCTGCTGCTGCGTTTTACACTATTGGATGTTAATATCCAATATAGGGAATGTATATAGTTCGTTTTTTTCCGTTCTGAATTATATATATATAAAAATGTTTTATTTATAAATGAATTTCATTGTATATAGTCCAAAGTATGAAAGAAATGTATGTACATTTTTAGAATAACTAATTTCTACATTAAACACAACAATACGCCATCGCATTCGCGACTCTCCTATGATTAAAAGCGACACTTCCGGTTTTCTTCCCACCAGAGCGATTTCAAAATGGCGGCTGCGTGAAATCAGCGTATAGGGCATGTTGTCACATTTCACTTCCATTCTTTCGGGGTAAATCAAGAAAAAAGTATACACTGTAAATCAAAACCACATAATTCTACTAGACATGTGGGAAATTAAAATATAAATACTCTAAACCCAAAGTAGATTTACACAAACTGAGAAAGTCAAAAAGCGTTAGGCCTAAGTTGTGCCCCGCTCTCCCCTATGTAGTTCTGTTGTGTTTGTTTTATTTTTGTTCTGAGAATAGACGACTTTGTTTTCCTCACTGGAATTCCTAACTTGCAATATTCTAAAACAACATTTGGACACAATAAATACATTAAGGCAATTCCTAAGATTGCATTAGGCTATAGCCTATTATGCACTATTATGCCTATGCGTTTGTCGTGTGTACTAAAGTCTGTCCATTATCATCAGAGCGCCACCCTCAGGCTGAATAACGGAAGAACATTAGAATTCTACCGAAACTGTGTCTGATGTGTTCAGCTATTATAAAGCTTACAAAATGTTTATCACAAACTAGCGCTAAGACCCAGAATCTGCCCTATACCAAAATTTATGGCCAGGAGCCGCTACTGAATTCACCCAATAGTATTTCGACACCACAGGTTGCCAGCTGGTGGAAAACACCGCGTATTGTAGCCACGGAAAACTCTACCCGACCTAAAAAGCCTCTGCATCCATCTAAAAATCTCAATGTCCAGACTGAGAGGCATATTAAAACGCGGATAAATCAACTCATCAACTTACAGTGTGCTCGTAGCCTTCCATTGTGCATTGCACTCGTTCCTTGTTGTGTGTTCTCAAACTGGCAACCCGGGCTAGTTGATGGTCGCCTTTAGTCCTTTTGGGATGTTCAAGCGCAGCTAGTTCTATGTCGGCTTGGTGTGTCCCGGGCTTTACACTTCATCAGTGTGAAAACACTTCATGAGTGTGAAAAGTGTGCTTTAAAAGCCCACAGGGTCAAAAATGCGAAACATCACAATAAACTAATAAATATCGGTCTGATATCATTGGAATGCATCTTTTCACAACATTCCCCATTTTTTATATAAGTGCATAGTTTTAAGCTCATTTAGTTTTGCTTATCTTGGCGAAAGCCGAGTACAAATCAGCATGAAGTTTTAACATCTACTCTCGTGTAATGGAAATCGATCATTTACTGTTCCACTAGTCCCAGTAAGAAATTAAATTTAGGAATTCAGAAAATCAGGATGTAGTTTTGTAGGTCGTGTTACAGTGATTCAGACTGTCAAACTTATATTCCAGAGGAGCAAAAAAACTACTAGGCCTATATCTTAAATGAAATCTTTGAGAATAACCTGAAGCGTACCAGACAACTCCATCTCAGCCTACAGTTGAAAATGTTCCTCATGGGTTGTCAAGCCTTTGCACCATGTCATCACATGCTTCAGAGCCTGTATGAGGAGGTTGGACGTGGTATCTTATGCACGACAATGCTGACAATCTTCTCTTCTTCTCCCTCCTCCGTGAGCACAAGGTTTGATCACACTAAAATTTAACTTTATCAATTTAGCCAGAAATACATTTTAGCGTTTTTAAGATACATTTATAAATGTATAAATATACTGAAGTCTTTGATATTTATCCTTTTTTTCCCCAGCAGGTTTGCCTGCATGGCACAGACACTTTTTCATTTGAAGCTCTGTACAAAGAAACTGTCAACAGTGTTCTGTACTGTAAGTATGTCACCCAGAGAGATTAACGTAGTTAAAACTGTTCATATAACTAGGGCATCTCTCATTTTGGCAAAAGGTCACCTTCAGTACATGAGCCAACTTAAAATGGACAGTTTTAGGTAGATATATGACCTTCGTGTAATTTTAAGGTGCATGTAACATCTGGTTTGAAAATCGTTGTCAGACGCAGCTCCTTTAGGGCTAAACATTATAGTCAAAGTCAAACTTTATTTGTCATATGTGCAACTGCACCAAACAGCAATACATGTCAGTGCTTTATTTTACTAGCTCATAGGCCCTATATATGAACTTTGTATAAATATATATATTTATTTATATATTATATATGTGTACGGTATATATATATATAAAACACTTTTTTCCAATTATATGTATGTGTGTATAAATATAAAAGTAACATTCTCTACCGATTTATCTGTGGTCAGTTTTATTCAGTTTACAACACCACTAACATACAGACTACGTGTGAATGTTTACAAAATACATTCATATGAATTCATACATTTTTCAATGGCCACATTTCATTTTGCAGAAGTGCCATCAAAGTAATCGAAATTTCTGTTCAAGGCCAGATCTGTCACTTTCAAGAATACAGTGTTTCAAACACAAACTCACTTACTGACCACATTAAAATGAGAAACTCTGCTGCACTTCTGAATACAGCACATAAGTACACTGCTAATTTCTGGTTGCTTATGCAGAGGACATATTTACCCTCATTACCATTCAGGGCTCTTTCCCATCCACTTAATGACATTCAGCTGGTCCCGCAGGTATGCAGGCCATGGAGAGGTGCAGTCAGCACAAACCGGACTCATGCTGACTGAGGCATTAAGCAACAGTTCAAAGTCTCATAGCCTTTTCTCAATCCCCTCTCAAAGCCCACCTAAGGCCAATTAGACAGTAAGGAAAGAACCCCAACAGACGTGCCAGTGGTATGAACATGCAATGCTGCTGCTGAGTCTGCATCTGGGTAATATATCCTCACTGATTTCTAGTACTTTTACACAAGTTGCCTGTCAGAATGAATTGTGTCAATAAAGTCTGTCATGCGTTCCTTGGAGAGAGCGTTGGATAATCCAGGGTATTTTTATGTTTTGTGTGCTTCATCAGTTCCCTTTTTAGGTAACGTAGATTTGCCCGCTGAGGGACCTTCTAAGAATGCCATATTTGCAGTGCACTTGCAGTTTATGCATATTTCAACATGTTCACTGCTGCTGTGTGAGTAGTCATTAATGTTACTGTGCTGGCATGCCAAGCTCTTTTAAAACAGTCATCAAGTGCACTCACTTTTCATTTGCCCGAGGGATCTTTTGACCAAATGCTGTTGTGGGTGATTTAAATCATGGTTTTACAATTAATTACATTTCTATTCAACAAAGAATTTTTTTTACTATCTACAGCAGGCCTATAGATTGAAGCGCAATAATGTATACTTATGTAACTTGGCATGCAAGTTTATATTGTGAATGACTTACTTATTTACCCTAAGGAGATATCTTTTTTTTTTCAAGTTGAGCTCTTTCATCTGTTTTCTTGCTCCCTTTTTAAAGCCTGACATTGCATAACACATTATCTTTACATGTGTTGATTCTGGAGGTGCATATTACAAATAACATTAACAATTCAATACTTTCATTTTTGTCATAAGAGATGTACCAATATATCATTTCAGGTGTTGTGACTTTTAAATAAATCATACAGTGTGTAACGTGAACTTAGTATCTTTTTTTTTTAAATTGCAAATTTTTGAATGCAAAGATTGCTATATGTAGCCGTATACTGATGTTACAGTATGGTTTTAATGCATACTCCAAGAAGAATTGAAAAACACCAATGTTTTATTTCAAGTAATTTATTTTTTTATCGAAATAATGAAGCATAAAATGCTGAGGAGAAAGACATTGTTTTCATCAAAGTGGTTGAAGCTACATTAAATATATATAAAAGGGATCTGATAACAAAACTAAAGAAAATGTAACATACAGATTTAAGTATCAGTTGAAGTCATATTCACGTACCCGAATCCTACACTATTTAATACATAAATACATACTATTATCAATAACAAAACCCTCAAATCTATTCATTTGTTTCTCAGCATGACATTTCAGAAAAAAAATGTAATGTTAATCTATAGTTTCTAAAATATCAATGCAAAAATGATTCTTGAGTGACCCTGAATTTCTTCTTTTGCATATGCCTAAATTTGTATAAGCATGATTTAATTTGTAAGTTCTGGTCCATTTTTTCTTCTCATTTCTTGTAGCCACCCATATATCCTCTCAGGAAGTCCTCGAATCCTGGAACTGGATACTCAGGAGCCACATGTTCAGGGAGAGGGTTGCCATGACCTTGTTCTTGCTGGGCCGGCTCATCGTTGTGTTCTTTACCTGTGGATGCTGCCCTGCGCAGGCGGCAGTTGTAATCGATTTCTGGGTCACAGTCCGGATGGGGCTCAATGATGCCATCTTTGACCGTCTTTGCTGGCTCTGCTTGAGTGGACGGATGAGCGGCAAACCTCCCACAGTTGGGGTCGTACGGGTGGCAAAATGGTTTAGAACTGGCAGCACTGGCCCTCGGGTCCTGGTTGTCCACCGGGGTGCAGTCCTTATCGTAGAACATGTAGCAGTCATAGCCTTCCTTGGTCTTGCCACGGACGCCCAGATGGTGACGGGTCTGGAACTCTGGGAGAACTGGAGGGGGTTTCCTGAGAGCAGCGGCTCCACCAATCAGACAATATGGATCGTAGCGAGGGTCGCAGGCCAGATTGAGAGGCGCAGGCTCATCTCTTGGAGCGTACTCCAAGGCGGGCTTACTGAGTCCAGTTAGCTTGGCAGCTGTAAGGGGGTTGCAGCCCTCTTCAAACAAAGGATTGCAAAACTTCTCTTTTGGGGTTTCTGAATTCTCTGCAGTTTGGGCTGCAGGTGCAACTACATTGGTGACGCAAAGGGGGTCAGTGGCGGGGTTGCAGGAGGGGTACAGGTGATACAAACCTGAGGGTGATCTGGCCACCAGCTTGGGCTGGCAGTAAGGATCTTTGGTAGGATCACATCCAAGGTGAGCGTACGAGGGCAGAGGGCCGATCGAGGGCCTGTAGCCATAAGCAGCGCGCAGGTGGTACTGCAGACACTCAGTGTCCGAAGGGTTGCAGATACGCAACAGCTCTGCTCTTTGCTCTGCCGGCAGGAAAGGCTCCAGGACCGGAGCGTAGTAGTGAGCCGATGGGGTTTTCAGAGGCAGAGGGAGTAGATGGGACAGAATCGGAGCAGGGACCTTCGCTGGAGCGGGTGAAGGCTCTTCTTCTGCAGCTTTTGGCCTAACAGCATAGAGGCAGTATGGGTCGAGGTAAGGGTTGCACACCGTCACAGAAGCTTGCCTCACAGGAACAGGCATGACAATCTTGGCTTTGGGTTTGCTGGTGGACTCTGCAATGCAGTCTGGGTCGTCGGAGAGGGCACAGGCTTTGTAAATTTCGCTCAGGTGCGTGAGGTAATGGTTGTAAGAGCGGCCCTCTTCTACTCTGTGTTTGTTTTGCAGGTAAACTAGGTACATGCGATCCATGTCCTCTACCTTTAGAGGTAATCACACAGAAACAAGATTGGGCTTATTGACTTATACTTGTCGCAATTTTCTGAAAACATCTCTCAATAAAGTTAACTTATTTAAAAGAAATATATTCCATAAAGTCTCAAAAAAGACTGTGACCATGAATGATAATCTCTTCTTTTGTTACTCACTCCTTCCTGGTTGTTGGTCTCCATGAAGTATTTATACCAGCCCCAGAAATCAGGCAGGCTTCTGTAATAGGCAACATTCCTCCTCTTGCGGACCAGCTTCTTCAGTGATGACATGCTGTCTGTCTTCACCTCAGAAACGGCCTCTATAATTGAACCAGCACATGACAAAAGCAAGTTTCAACATATTGACATCTCAATATAATGTATATTGTTTTGTGTGTGTTGTGAAGTTTTTTGTAAATGAAAGGGGTTTTTATGTATGTATACCTATTTTGAATTATAGATTAAACTTTTTATGGGTGCTTAATTTTTAGGCAAAACCAATGTTGGTTTTACATAATGGCACAATATAAACTTAAACTATAGTTAAAAGTTTACACACTTGACTAAATTTACTTTTTCTCATGGTTTTAATTTTTTTTTAATCTAAAGGCTTAAACACTTTAACACTAAAAGCTTAAACACAGAATTTAAATTTAAATTGCACCAACATATGTATTTCTTCATACACTACCATTAAAAAGTTTGGGGTTATAAGACATTTTAATGTTTTTGAAAGTCTATAAAAATACAGTATAAACGTTAATATTTTGTGAAATATTATTAGTTATTTTCTATTTTAATCTAATTTTTTCAGCATCATTACTTCAGTCTTTAGTGTCACATGATCCTTCAGAAATCATTTTAATATGCTGATTTGGTGCTAAAGAATCCTTTCTTATTATTATAGTTATATAAAATTTTTGTGGCTGACGTCACACTCTTTTTTCAGGATTCTTCAAAGTTTAGCATTTATTTAAAATAAAAATATTTTTTTAATATTTTCAGTCTTTACTGTAATGTTTGATTAATTTAATGTGTCCTTGCTTAATAAAAATATTAATTTCTTTAAAAAATTGTACTGACCCCAAACTTTTGAACGGTAGTGTATTTTATAAAATAAGAGTATTATGCTATAGAGGATTTTATATCTTACATATAAGTTTAGATTCATATTTAAGACACATGTATGTACAGACATATGTCTGGACATAATTCCCATAATTCCATTTTTGTTATTTTATAGTTTCGATGACTTCACTATTAATAAATAATGAGCAGAAAAACCTTTTGACTTGCAGTGTACGAGAAGTATTAATGTGAAAGAGAGGAAAAATCATTGTGGTGATTTGATTGCAATATTAAGAATCCTTTAATTCTTTGCTTTGCCAGTGTATCACATGACCTATCCATGTATAACTTAAAATTATACATTTAGAAGAAGGATGTTCTATTTTAGAGCCAAGATGAAGAGAAGCTATATATGAAACAATGAACCACTGCATATTTAAGTGATGTTTAATAGCTTTATCTCATATTAGAGTATTGATATCGCTGCCATTTACAACACAGCTGATAAATAAAAAAACTCACCGTCTTTATTGCGCCCAACAGGACCAGCATTCAGAAAGTCTGTCACACATTGCAAAAGAAAAGAAAAAACAGAATTGAACTGTTATGAAACCAAGGTCACACTTCTGAAAATAAGGAAAATGCCAACCGAGAACTGACTAATATGCTCCTGCAGGTGCACAGCAGGCACTTTTCCCGTCAGCAAAGGATTTGTCTTATTCTAGTGATTACTGCTCTGTCTTGGCTCTCTGAGAGCACTAAGTGCTTTAAAATGGGGCTTAAACTTCCGGGACCCCCTGCAAGTGTACCTGTTAAACTACAAAGAGATTGGGGAACCAGCCCAGAGGCTGCTGCTATAATTACCACTGCTGTAAAATAAAATGAAGGATGTAAAATGTTCTGTACGTGCAACATTTGTGGCATATATCTGCACCTCCAGTTGGTCTCTTAAGATGTTTATAGTTCATGGAAAAATTACAGTTGGCTGATAATTGCAAGGCCGGCCTTTTCCTCTATAACTGTTTGCCTTCACAAAAGAGTAACAATACACAATGCTCATTTGTTTTCTTAGAAATTATGTTTGAAGTTTCTGCAGTTACAGTAACCTAATGTGTTTTGTATCAGAGCTTTCTAATTCATTTGGTTCATGCTTTCTAATGCTATGTGATTTACGTTTTGACATTATTATGTGAGACGTGAGCTGAAATTTAACTGTGCAACATATTAAGGATAACAGAATATTTTATTTTGATCAACATGGATTCTCACCTGACATAAAGACAGTTGCAAGAGCCATTCCACAGATCATTATAAGTCTGGCCATTTTTCTTGATTATTGAGTCCTGAAAACACAAAAATAAATCACTTGAGAGAGTGGCCATTTCAGGAACATTCCAACATTCAAAATAGTGCTTGACGGGGTTTTTCAATAGTTTATTCTTAAATGATATTGAACTTTTAACTATTTTAACTTTTAAAACATGTATGATTTCTTTAATATGACCAGATATCATTATTTTAAATATAAATCTTTATATCAATACAACACATATTGAATAATAAAACAGTGACAATCCATATGAGATCTCCAGCAAAACATCTCTTACTACTAAAATGTAATTTCAGTGGTCTTAACTCGATCTAACATGAATTTAATAAGAGTATTTTGGAAACTCTCACTATCAGCAACTGTATGAGAAAAGGAAACTTGTCAAAAGCATGCACTTACCTGTTCCAGAAGAAATAAGTTGCTGGTGGGCTCTGAAGGGGCGGACTGAGCTCTTCACACAAACCCCTGCACTCCCCTTCAAACCCTCTGTGGTGGATGGCAACGTTTTTAAGGAGCTCCATGATCATTAAGAACAAAAAGGCATGTCATATGTCAGGAGCTTGCTGTTAGCCTTATTGGGATTGGCTCTTGCAAAATCAGCTCATTGACCAATGAGAGTCCTGTAATTTGGAAGAAAAACAGCAAGATCCAGCTTGGAAGAAAGAGCCGGAGGGATGCAGAAATAATCAAAGATATACTTTTTTTACTGATTGATGAATGAGGTGCCACATTTACCAGAGACAGACATGTCATGTTCAATTTTTTTTAAATACCTGAACCTAGTTCCCTTTCGAGGGAACTCGCGATGCGTCATCGACGCTTTGGGAACGCCCCCAGCGTGAATGCGTCTGAGCATCAATGTCAACTAGTCCAATGGAAAGAATGAGCGTCACGGGCGGGTGACGTCATGACCAGGAAGGCATAAGAGCACATCCGTTGAAACGCGGCATTAGCTTCTGTGTCTCAGCAAGCGATCTGTGTCATTTTGTCTCTGTCTATTTACTGTTGTCTGTTGCGTAAAAGGATGGAAAATAAACACGTGTACAAACAGTGTGCTTCTCCCTGCCCGCGTTATTTAACGGGTGGGGACACACACGAGCTTTGTGTCATTTGTTTGGGAGTGGAGCATGCGGTCTCAGCCTTCGAGGGGGCTGAGTGCCAGCATTGTGAGATGCTACCGCTTCGCATGCTCCGCTCTCGCCTGTCACTCTTTGATAAAGAGAGTGGGCAGGCTCGCGATCCGCAGGGATCAGGACCCGCGTCTGCCGAGGCAGCGCGGAGAATGCATTCCTGGGGATCGCAAAAGGATCTTTTGGAGGGGTTGGAGACGGGTCCGAGGGCTCTTTCTCCTTCCTTACCCGAAAGATCCAGCGCTCCCCCCCCCCGAACCCCCCCCCCCCCCCCCCCCCCCCCCCCCCCGGTGTCGTAAGCACGCTCTGCGGTTTCTTCCGCCCGGGGAGAGAGCCCTCCATTACTTCATTGCTCTTCCTCGATGCTATGAGTTTGGAGAGTGAAAGCACACACATGGGGGAATGAGATTCACAATTTATTTCCCCAGCATATGATGAGCTGGTGGATGTTATGTCGCGGGCTGTAGATAAATTAAAGATTGAATGGCCATCTGATAATAGGGGCGCTCGTCCTAAGAGTAAATTAGATGAGCGCTTTTTATCTTCTACTGCTTCATCTCCACCACGAGGGCTTCCATTTTTTCCTGATCTTCACAATAAGATTTCTAAATCATGGAATAAGCCATACTCATCACGACTTTTCAGCCCTCAAGTTAATATTTATTCAAGAATTAGAGGGCTGAAAGAGTATGGTTATGAGGCGATGCCCCAGGCGGAACAGAATTTAGCCAGCTATCTTTCCCCTGGTCCCGCATCGTCTCTGAAAGCCTCGGCTTTGCCCACTAGACCGCTCAAAGCCACGTCGGTGTTAGTGGGCAAAGCTTATACGGCAGCAGGTCAAGCTGGAGCATGTCTGCATACTATGGCAGTGCTTCAGGCTTATCAAGCTGACCTGCTGGGGGGTCTGGATAATAGTGAGGGAGTTAGTCATGACGATATTCGAGAACTTCGCCGGGCTACCGATCTTTCTATCAGGGCTACTAAAGAGACCGCCAGAGCAATTGGGCGGTCTATGGCAGCTTTGGTAGCTACTGAGAGACATTTATGGTTGAATCTTTCGGAGATTAAAGAAAAAGATCGTGCTTTTTTGTTAGATGCTCCGCTTGAACCTTCTGGTCTCTTTGGTGACGCAGTCCACACGGTCGTCGAGAGATTTCAGGAATCAAAAAAGCAAGCGGACGCTTTCAAAAAGTTTATACCTCGCCGTGTCCAGCCCCCTGGGGCTGCTGGGCGTGAGCAGCCCCAGCCACCAAGCTCATCATATCGTGTGCATCAGAAAGAGAGTGTTGCGTCTCGTGCACCTCCACGTGGAAACTGGAGACAGACGCAACCCTCTCAGCCGAAGTCTTCTAAGTCGAAGCCGGATCTGAGGACCGCTCTTCAGGCGAAGAAGACTTCAGCTAAAAAAAAAAAAAAAAAAAAGGTCCTGATGTTCATGCATCAGGCCTGTGAGGACAGCCCCGACCGAAATAGAGCGGTGTACACCTCATTATACGGTGCCCGTTCCATTTCGGGGTCCTCACGAGCCCGTTCTGCCAACCCTGCCACCCTCGGTGCTTCAGGGCGCAGCGGTCTCCAGCGAGTCGCTGATGCTATGCTGCGGCACAGCATCGGTTTCGCGCCCTCTGAGGGGGGCTTTAGAGCGGCCAGTTCAGGTAGTTCCTGCCATTATGTTTAAGGCTCCGGAATTGGCTGTCTCGATAACACCAGAGACCAGCCTCGAGAGGCTGGTTCCCTTAGTAAATTTTCTGGCAGCGTGGAAGCTTCTGCCTAATATTTCTCATTGGGTCCTGCAGATTGTAGAGAAAGGATACAGAATCCAGTTTGGTTCTCGTCCTCCTCGTTACAACGGGGTGCTGCCCACAGTGGTGCATCCCGAGCAGGCTCTGGTAATGGAGCAAGAGGTAAAGGCCCTGTTAGCAAAGGAAGCTATAGAACAGGTGTACTCACCCGACAGAGAGTCGGGTTTTTACAGCCGTTATTTCATTGTTCCAAAAAAGGATGGGGGGTTGCGTCCCATTTTAGATCTTCGTCTGTTGAATCGTTCAGTACAGAAACTCAAGTTCAAGATGCTGACACTCAAACAGATCCTGACTCAAATCAGATCTGAGGACTGGTTTGTCACGATAGATCTGAAGGACGCTTACTTCCATATCTCCATCCTCCCTCAGCACAGGAAGTTCCAAAGGTTTTCTTTCGGGGGCAAAGAATACCAATATCGGGTTCTTCCTTTCGGTCTAGCTTTATCACCCCGCACGTTCACGAAATGCGTGGATGCAGCTCTAGCCCCTCTCAGGCTTCAGGGCATACGTATTCTGAACTACATCGACGACTGGCTGATTCTGGCGGAATCAGAGCAGTTGGCGGTTCTGCACCGAGGTGTCGTTCTCGCTCATATGCAGATGTTGGGGTTGAGGCTCAATGCCAAGAAGAGTATTCTTTCTCCAGTACAGAGAACCACTTTCCTTGGTGTGGTATGGGATTCAGTGACGATGCGGGCCACTCTATCGCCCGTTCGTGTAGCTGCTATCCTGACAGCCACCAAAGAGCTAAAGCTAGGCCAGTCACGCACTGTGAAACAGTTCGAGAGACTGTTGGGTCTCTTGGCGGCAGCGTCCAACGTGATACCTTTTGGCCTGCTGTACATGAGACCTTTACAGTGGTGGCTAAGGACCAGAGGGTTCTCCCCGAGGGGAAACCCACTTCGTATGATCAAGGTCACGCGGCGGTGCCTTTGTGCCTTAATTATATGGAGGAAACATTGGTTCTTAACCCAGGGTCCGGTATTGGGAGCTCTTTGCCATCGTGTTACTATCTCGACAGATGCTTCCCTCACCGGCTGGGGAGCGGTAATGGAAGGCCGCTCGGTTCAGGGTCTGTGGAAAAGTCATCATCTTTCGTGGCATATCAATTGCCTGGAGATGATGGCTGTCTTCAATGCGTTGAGACAGTTTCTCCCAGACCTGAGGGGCCATCATGTGCTTGTACGAACAGACAACACATCAGTGGTCTCTTATCTGAACCGTCAGGGGGGTCTGCGGTTGCGTCCGCTTTGCAAACTGGCGCACCAGATCCTCCTGTGGTCTCTGGGGAAGGTACTCTCCCTGAGGGCAGTGTATATTCCTGGGGACCAGAATATGGGGGCAGACATCCTGTCGAGGCAGGAGCTGAGGCCAGGGGACTGGAGACTCCCCCCCGAGGCGGTGGAGAAAATTTGGGAGTTTTACGGCCAAGCAGAGGTGGATCTGTTTGCGTCTCAGCATACGACGCACTGTCCACTTTGGTTCTCCCTTACTCACCCAGCCCCCCTGGGGCTGGATGCTATGGTGCAGACGTGGCCGAGGCTACGTCTGTACGCATTTCCCCCTGTTGCTCTGCTCCCAGGAGTTCTGGAACGAGTCCGCCAGTACGGAATAAGCCTACTGCTTGTAGCACCACGCTAGCCGAGTCGGATCTGGTTTGCGGACCTGATCCATCTCTTAGACGGTCCTCCCTTGGAGATCCCGATCAGGAGAGACCTTCTGTCTCAGGCCGGGGGCACAATATTTCACCCTCGACCAGAGATTTGGAACCTGTGGGTTTGGCCTCTGAGGGGGCCCAACTCATAGAGAGTGGTCTCTCAGCTGAGGCTGCTGAGACCATCCTAAGCTCCAGAGCTCCAGCTACTAGGAAACTTTATGCGCTTAAATGGAGAGTTTTTTCTGTATGCAGGCCTGCAACTCGCACTAAGGTGCCAGCTTGGGATCTTGCTATAGTACTAGAAGGCCTGTCTAGGGCTCCGTTCGAGCCCTTAGATTCGGTTTCAGAGAAATTTCTTACCCTCAAGACTATCTTTCTGCTAGCTATTTCTTCCCTTAAGAGAGT